CACCAACAACAGCAGCAGCTATCTCAACAACAACACCAGCCACGACCATCAGTAGTCAGCCCACCATCTTCTGTACCGCAACAAGTCCAACACACTTTAGTTTCGACTAAGCAACAAACGCAACTTCCCAACCATCAACCGAGGCTAGTTGAGGTAAACCCCATTTGAGACTTTCATTTGGCTTTAGTATCCAAATCCAGCCGAGGTTTTTTCTTTATAAGTGTCTTTCATACGCTTGGCGTTTTATGATCAAGTCCTTATATGCGATTTTATACTTATTTGCTTCTCTCCGTTTAATGCTCCCATCTTCAATCGCATCATGTAGCTATCGCATGAAAATATAATACTTCGCTTTGTCTATAGTAGTTTGTGCATGGTGATAATGTGTCTGCTTCAACACTGTACTATCCGTTGTTTTCTGCTACGTAATTTGTGAATGTTTTTTCCTATTTGAGGTAATACCACTTTTGATCACAGCAGTTCAATCATAATCCTAACGCTATAATATATAGCTCTTTATTTTCTTTCGTAAATGCATTACATGTGCTAATCATAGTTCAAAATATATGTCATTCCAAATTGTGGAAAATGCCTTCTTTATATTTCGGAGGAGAATGAAATGGGGAAAAGATTTTGAACTTTGAAGCATCTTAGTTCGCATGGATAGCGGTTTATTTGTCGCGAGTATTTGTTGAAATTTGCAGCTTTTGGGAAGAGAAGTCCATTTTTTCTCTTTAAGACCCGTGTCCAATAATTTTCAGGGGCATTTTTTGCATTCATGCATTTCTTTGTAAATTTCAACATCACTAAAATCTTTGGTTGGATTCATGTCTAAAGAAGGTAAGGTGTGATTTCTTTTTTATGATCCTTGATTTTTGCATAGTGAATTGCATAAATGCGAGATTTTAGATAAATTTTTATAGCTGACTTAGTTTGCGTTAGCTGTCGCTTTATGCATATACCAAAACTAATAAGTCAGGAAATTTATTTTTTTTTCTCTTGTTTTTGATTGCGTATCGACTTCCAAATTTTGTTGGACTGCTTTCAAATCTGTATGCCCTTCTACTACCAATGCTTCAAACACTTGTACGTTAAGCCTCATCGTTGTTCTCCAAGAGTCAAAAAGAAAATGGGGAAATGTTGTTTGAGAAGATGTACAAAGTATTTTTTTTCTCATGCCGGCCGGTATTACCTCAAATTCCTTATTTCCCGTTATTTTAGCAAAATATAGTACTACCGGCTCAACCATCGACACCATTTACGCCGATGGAAGCTGCGCCAATCACAACACCAACGTTCGCGCCACTTCACAATGCTTCACTGTTACCTGAACCACAGACTCTGCCCTTAGCCGTGATATCCCCTGCTGTGGCGCAACCTCCATCAGCAGTCCCTCAATCCGTTTCCTACCCAGTGGCGCCTCTCTTTGATTCGCGAACCGATACTGACCATCAGCAACAACTTCACGGATTCATAGGCAGTGTTGCAACACCACCAGGCTCACAGGAAGTCTGCTTAGGGAAAAATCCTGGAAATGGCGAGGCTTCGCGACGTTCTTCGCTGTCCTATCTTGCTGTTCAGCCTGTGTTGTCCGTACAGTCGCCACCAGCGGCACAAGTCGTTAGTGATGTTGTACATGGTGATGATTCTGCCCAGGTGACTCCCGAATCCACATATTCCGTGGATACATTTGGATCCGGCATTTCATCTTCCGATAAGGCGAGACATCAGCAGGACACCTCTAATTCGTCTGCGGCTGTTAACCATATGCAACACCAGAACAGCAAGACGGACGACAACTGGGAAGACGATTGGGAGCGCACAGAACTTCCAGAAAGAGGCAACGCCAGAGAGGTACCTCATAATCACTTCAATTTATTTTTCATTTCGCACTGCCTCATGCATGTTTCCTTTTAGTTGAACAGTTGCAGACCTAATTTCGAGAGTATAATCCTCATATTAACAACTCTAAAGGCGAACACTTTGATGATTGTGCGTTGATTGCTGCGTAGGGTTTTATGTGGTTTTGATGCAAACACTTTCAAGAAAGTAATCTTGCGCCGAAAAAAGACTGTTCGCAATGCTTGTGCCCGTGTTCGCGTTTAGATTTTCTAGGTAGCGGTGCATACTACGAAGTAAGGTCAGTCGCAGTGTTGTGCTGGTGGTACTAACTTTTGTTCCTTTGTTTTTTCTTAAATGTGGTCA